ATGGAATGGTATCTTTTTAAATGATACATTCTAAACTGAAAACCCTAATAAGTTTACTGGATGAAATTAATTGAGTAAACTTGTTGCCTCAGTTTAATAGAGAAATGGAATCTCCCAAAACTTGCATATTTAAGTTTATTTAACTTGCCGCTTTAGTAGATTATACTTAAAATGTTCAGTTCAGTGTGTGTGTGTCTGTATGTGTAATTCTATACTATGTGAAAAATGTTTAAAAGAAAAATAAGTAGCCATTTATTTCCATTATGGTGAATAATTATACCTGAAGCCTTGTTTTCTGATTAAAAAAGACCTTGCACTAAAAGGCTGCACATATTAGAATTTTTCTGTCAAGACTACAATAAAAACAACCATTTTTTCTAAAGAATTAAGTATGATTTTGAGCTTACTATACTTGAAATCTTAAGTTTATGCATTTTCATTGACAGGACCAAAATGGTAAATTTTAAGTAATGTTCATTCAACTTTACTTGATTGTTTAAGAGAGTTTAGAGTTTACATAAGAGTTTACAGTCTAGGTACATATCAGTACTAAAAATTTCTAAATATACACTGTACTTAGTACCTAATATGTACCTTAAGTTACCAATATAGACCACTTAAGTACTAACCTGTACCTTTTAAAAAGGTACTGCCCCCATGACAGCATTTGTGCCTTTATTTCTAAGGGTGTACCAATTAAACGTGCAGTACTTCTTTTGTGTATTCTTCTCTGCAATATATAATCTTTCTTTTCAAGCATTTAATACTTTTTTCTAAATGTCCAGGTGTCCGTATGTCAGGAGATGTTGACAGAATTTCGTAACGCCGTCTCCTGCAAGAAAAGCTCTCGTCTACGCCGCCGCCGGCCTCTGTCCAGCTCTCTGGCCCTCCGGCATCCCACCCGCATCACTTTGGGGGCTCCACGACCCCTGCGCCTTGTGAGAGAGATGCGCCTTAGCAACGGAAAGCTCTACAGTGGCACTGGACCCCTCACAGGAGGTTCAGGGCCTGGAGGAGGCCCCACAGACATGGGTCCTGGCCCCCAACGGCTCCTGGAGGATCCATTAGGAGCCAACAGCACGCCTGCAGTGGCCCTGGGACCCCCCGCAGTGACAGTGCCTCTGCCGCGGGGTTGCACTCACGTGCGCATCTGCCAGGAGTGCAGGCGGATTCAGAGTCTCCGCACAACTTCATGCACACGAATCCCTCCCTCCTCCGCCCCCCTGCCCCGCCTCGCTCCACCCCCTCCACACTCATCCTCGAATACAGACAGCGAAGGGGGCGGCGGCCTAAGCCCGTGCCGAATAGGACACTCCCCTCCGGCTAAAGGCTGCTCTTTACCACCACCTCAGTCTAGCAACAACACAGACCTAATGGGGGAGCAAAAATGAGAACAGACAAACTAACAAACACAAGTATGACACATTTTTGCAATATTCGCCTCCATGTTCGAAATCACAGACAAATGCGCTTTCCATCTTTTCCTTGGTACAAAAAATGGATCCTTTTCTTTTGGATAGCCATGTGTCATTTCAATGATTCTTTTGTACTACTGAATGATGTACTATAACACTGACTGTGTAAGAAATGATTGTACGCCTCAGACACAAGGGTGCAGATGTTAAATGTGATTCTGATCAGGCAGCACACAGACGTCTGACAGATTCTCCTTCCCTTTCCTGACTGAAATCTCTCTCTGTTTGGATAGAGGTCACACACTGGAAGTAGCACAGCGGAGACGCTCTCGTTTGGACGTCCAGATCAGAGCTCGAATGCCACAGAATGAGAGCACACAACATTCGTGGAGGACAATGATGCAAACTTGTTAATGAAAAAAAAAGATATTCTAAAAACAGATATTCTTACTTTTCTGTACTATACTTATTTTTAAATTCACTGTCTGTGTAATTTAATTCTGGGGTTGTGTTGTCTGAATTGGAAATTAAAAATAGAGATACTTTATTGATACTGAGGAGATCAACTCTGACTGAATATGTATGGGTTTTTTTGGGAAACGAGGAGCTGTGTTCATTAAAACGTGGACTTTGATCTGTCTGCTAGAACTTGTGAGTCTGTAAATAGTTCTGTAAAACAAACATTCCACATACCTCAGCCTCACATTTTCACACGTTCAAACTCATCTCACCACAGGTCAGTGTGTTAGAGAAGAGAAGAAAAAATCAGACATCTGATGTTGTGGTTCTGCTTTCATATATCTCAACACACAATGATAAAATGAGAAAGAAATAAGAGAAAAACACAGATGCTTCAAAATAATGTCTAACCCACTTCTGATTTATTTATTTTTTTAAATATATTTCTATAAATATGTGTATAAAATTATAATTGTTAAACTTACAGTTGAATAAATGTATCAAGAGGACTATTAGAACTATTAGAAATGAACATATTATATATATATATATATATATATATATATATATATATATATATATACATACATACATACATACATACAGTTGAAGTCTATTATTAGCCCTCCTGAGTTATTAGCCCCCGTAAATTTTTTTCCCCAATTTCTGTTTAACGCAGAGATTTTTTTCAACACATTTCTAAGCATAATAGTTTTAGTAACTCATTTCTAATGACTGATTTATTTTTTCTTTGCCATGAAGACAGTAAATAAAATCTAACTAGATGTTTTTCAAGACACTTCTATACAGCTTAAAGTGACATTTAAAGGCTTAACTAGGTTAATTAGCTTAACTAGGCAGGTGAGGTTAATTAGGCAAGTTATTGTATGATGATGATTCTGTAGAATATCGGAAAGAAAAATTGCTTAAAGGGGCTAATTATTTTGACCTTAAAATAATGTTTAAAAAATTAAAAACAACTTTTATTCTAGCCAAAATAAAACAAATAAGACTTTCTCCAGAAGACAAAATATTATCAGACACTCTGATAACTCTGCAAATTTCCTTGCTCTGTTAAATATCATTTAGAAAATATTTAAAAAAGAAAAACAATCAAAGGGGGGCTAATAATTCTGGCTTCATATATATATATATATATATATATATATATATATATATATATATATATATATATATAGCCTAACTACCCTAACCTGCCTAGTTAACCTAATTAACTATATATATATATATATATATATATAGTATATACACACACACACACACACATACATAATTGTAGTCTTTAATAACATAAAATTATTATAATATTATTTTTGATATTATTATGTTATCAATTTTTATATTCTTTCTTTGTATAACTTTAACCAGTCTTGCTTTGTACAGACTGAATTGTGTTTTCTTCTTACTGACTACAATTTCTAAATCTAATTCAAATCTTACTGTTAAATGTTAACCAAAGCGCACAAAAAGATCAAAATAAAGTGAAACTTAGGAATAAATGTTCACAATGAGTATGCATTGTAATCAGTACATTGTTTTTTTATTTTATGATTTGTGACTTTTTCAAATATAGACCACACATAAAACACATAAGCACACTTTTTTCTTTACTGGTCAGTGTCAGTTTTCAAGGTGTTAAGGCCCATTCACTCCATTCATGTGGGTATCCTCCGGGTGCTCCAGTGTCCCCCACAGTCCAAACTCAAAGACATGGGGTACAGGTGAATTGAATAAGCTAAACTGGCCGTAGTGTATGTGTGTGAATGCAAGAGTGTATGGGTGTTTCCCAGGGTTTGGTTGCGGCTGGAAGGGCATCTGCTGCGTAAAACATGTGCTGAATAAGTTGCCGATTCATCCTGTGGGAAATCTTTTTTTTTTTTTTTTGTACTTTTAATAAAGGGATAAAGCCAAAAAGAAAATGAATGAATAAAAGAGAAAGTGATGATCATGCACTTGATTTGCACTTGGACTGATGCAGCTACAGTGATCTGTTACAAGATAATAAAGAGCAAAGAATGTCACTACTTCTAACATTTCACTAATTAAGTTAGTTTAATAGCTAAAACTCTGTGAAATACTTGGGACCAAACGGCACGTCCTGTAATTTTTTTTTCTGGTACTTTTAGCCTAAAGATGTTTTGTAAAAATGATCACTAATATCACTCATAAATGTAAACAAGAAAAAGCTCATGGTTTTTCAATATTTGAAATGAGTTTCAGGCCTGGTTTCACACCTGTTGTGTAAATGTTTCATATTTGCTTAATTTATGATACAGAATAGATGACATCCCACATCCCTAAATATTATTGTCTGCAGCAGTTTGTCTCAATCACCTCACTAAGCACCAGGACACAATTTTAAACAGATTTCAAAGAATAATCTGTGGTCAAAGGTTTTTTTTTTATTATCTGAAAATAGTTAATAACATGTAGTCAGCAAGACATACTAAATTTTGCTTTTAGAGTTGTATTTTTGGATTTAACGTATGTGAAAATAACGTATACTGAAATTTCAGAATTAATATAGACCACAGCAAAAACAGATGAGTTTTTAAAGTTTATTGCCATTCTTTCACTGTACAAGGCCTGGGTAAACTTTTTAGAAGGTTCCCAAGAATCTTTATGAAACATTAAACCTTTAAGAATCTTTGCATTAACGAAGATCCAAGCTGATGTTTCTTATTTTAATTTATGCCTCAAAACATCTCAATGATACATAAGCAAAACCTGGATATATGAGGTAATGTAAAGTTCAAATTTTACATAATTAAAACATTTTTGATACTTTACACTACTTTTATACTCTATACTGTACAACTTTCTAACTATGAAGCACTTGAAAATATCACTGGGAGAACATTCATTTATTTAAGGTCATATATTACATAATTGCTTAAAGTGAGACGTTTTTTTCATTGTATCAGATGTGGTAGAAATATAGTGAGGGGTCTTTGAATTTTGATTTTGACCATGAAGGGTCTTGAGGTAACAAAACAATGTTGAGAACATGCAGCACTAGGTGGCACAGTGAGCTCTCTCTTCATTCTGTCTCAGCAGTCTCTGGATAAGCAGTTTATCATTAACTGAAAACTGAAGTAAATAGTTCAGGTGGCTTGAGCTGACAGATGAGAGATCGATCATGATGGTTTCGCATGGTTTATTCTGGACACTGTGGATGGTGGCCTGTTTTGGTGAGTCCTTTAACAAATTACGAATGTTGAGGATTGTTTTTCTATTTAAAGAAACTAAAGGTCTTAGTTCAGTCTTTTTATGTTTACATACTAATGATAAAGCCTAACTGTGCATATCATTGCATATGATTGTTTTTCTTACTTGTCTTCTCTATTTATTTTAATTTTATTCCTGTATTTTTTTTCATTTTTTTACACAGAACAATGTTTGGGCCAAGATCTTCAGTTTCCTGAGCTGAATAATGGAGCAGTAGGAGGAAGTGTAAAGTTCACCCCTAATAATCCACCATCAACAGCGATCAACCAATTTACCTGGCAGTTTGAAACAATTCTTATATTGACTGGAAAGCCTGATTCACCCACAGTATCCTCAGAATATCAAGACAGAGTCTTTTTGGACAAAAACACACTCGCTCTGGAACTCTGGAATCTGACTTTCAGGGATTCAGGATCATACAATCTGTCTGTGAATACTGTTAATGGCGATGAAATTAGAGAACAAACTTCACTACAGGTGTATGGTGAGTGTGTTGCTTGTGATTGCCACAAACCATTTGATTTAAAAAAAACTTATCGGTAACAGTTTACAATGAATACATGAATAATGATATATTATAATGTAAACTAATCATTAGTTTATTACGAAGTAATGATGAGTTAAGGTCTGCACTAATCATGAATTACCTTTAACTATAACATAATTTACATGAGTTCATGTGTAAATAACATGTTGTTAATTAATGTATTAATTATCATTTAAGTTTAAGCTAAATGTAACCAACATGAACTCATGAGCTGGTAATGTATAGTTATATCATGACTTTACTTGGAGGGGCACATCACTATTAACTCATCCTTAACTACTCATGAACTCCTGTTCATGTTGATGTTGACAGAATACTTATCTGGTGTTATTCAGTGTAAACTCACTAGCTGGACGTGCATAAGGAGTTCATGAGTAGTTAAGAATGGGTTAATGATGATGGCCCCTCCAAGTAAAGTCACAACATAATTATACATTAACATACCATGAGTTCATCATGGTTAAATTAAGCATAATGTGGTAATTAATACAATAATTAACAAACAATCATGTACTAACAAGTAATTAAGGTAGCCATCATTCACACTAGAACTCATGTGACTCATGTTGAAGTTAAAGTTAGTTATTTATTAGTGCGCACCTTAACTCATCATTAATTCATAATAAAGTAGTGTTTAGTTTACATATTAATACATAATTATTTATGTACTGTAATTGTAAAGTGTTACCAACTTATCTCTATGAGTACTGTGAACTTATTCCATTTAAGTTGAAGCAATGAGGCATTTAATTAACTCATAACCTTTAACACTGAGTTCAGAACTCTTTTCAAATAAGTACAATTAACTTTCAGTCAATTTTGAGTTAACCACACTCATTTCATTTGATAAAGATGACTGTTCACAGTGAATAAAATTGTATTTAAATTTATTTTTTATTTACTATGTCTCAAATGTAATTTAACTAATTGACTCAATATTACTTAAATTCAAATATATCCTAATGCAAATACTACTAACTTAAAAACTCTTTATTTTTGAGTCAAACTGGGTCTTTAGCTTCTAACTTTTAGCTTTATTTTAAAATATTTAAACGCATAAAAATGTCATACATGCTATCTAATGTCTTTTATTTCGTACACAATCATTGCTTTTTAAGTATCTGCAACTGTCTTGATAAATGTCACATACCTTAGTTAAAAATATAATTGTGAAAATTCTGGAAAGTTTTTGCAGACAAAAAAAAAACTTTTTTTCAACAGTTTATCTGAACTGATTTACAAAACCAAAATAATGTAATTTAAGGCAGGGACTTTATGAAGAAGTGTTATTAAATTACCTAAATTACTATTAAAAAATAAAAAGTAATCCCTTACTTTACTTGTTCAGCAAACAAGTCATTTAATCACAGTAATTAATCTCTTTGTAGTTGTTTCTAGTCAGACAAACCTTTTCCTATGATGGTTGAATTTGCAGTTTTTTTGAAGTTTTCTTAATTTAACTATACACTAGAGAAAGGGATGCCCAAACTAGGGCCCGTGAGACGAAGTTGTCCCACAGTAACCTTTGATCTGGCCCTCTATCCCATCTGAGAAGAGAGAGAGAATGGGGAGTTTTGGCAGGAATGCCTTTAACAGAGTTAGCTATTTCAAATTTTACATAACTTTTTTTTCTTAACTGTAACTGAAATGAAATGTTTTTAATTAATTGTTGTGAATGAATCACAATAAAAATGAAGGATAGTGACATTGCAGAAGACATTAGCAAGCAAATCAAGGCAACGTGTATTTTTTAGTGTTAGAAATGGGATTGTTCGTGTTTTTTATAGTAAGTTGTTTATTATAAAATGTACAAAATATTATAATTATTTACACAATAAAAGTATTATAAATTTAATAAATTATAGTATTAATTCAATTGTATAATGAATTATAATAATTAAATCGGAAATTACATTGACATCTTTACAGTTTGGTATATTTACCTCCAGCCCACCACCCTCAATCAAGCTTAGATTTTGGCCCTTCATAAGAAAAGGTTTGTTCACCCCTGCACTAGAGCAAGCATGAACAATTTCATTAGGGACCATATGTTCAACCATAAATAAGCTTTTTTTTGTCAGTGTCTTTACCATCCTGAACTATGTCACGTTAAAACCAACGCAATCTCATGGCAATTTGTAACTTATTAATTTGGTGGCTAATTCGTATGAATTCGTACGATTTAATTCGTACATTTTAGTATGACTTGCTCATCACCCAATGACGATTGGGGTTAGGCGTGGGGTTAGGTGCCCCGCCTCCTTTTTAAAATCGTACAATTTCGTACGACTGAAATTGTACGAATTCGTACGAATTAGCCACTTAATTGGCAAAACGTAAAATACTTACGTTTTCTCATGAGATCAGGCTGGTTAAAACAACACTTTTGATCACTGGCACCACTGGCTTAGTCTATATACTGTAATACATCCTGAATGCTAGTAAGGTTTACACAAAACTATTTCCATGTAGTGGCCTGAAAAATATTAGTCCTTTTCTCCCACAGAAATAATATCTGATGTGACACTTACTGGTCCACAAGAAACATTAATTGAGGATGAATCATCTGCTAACATCACCTCTAAGGGAAGTGGCAACATCACCTCTGTGCAGTGGATGAAGGATAACAGTCCTCTGTCTTCTAGCAGCAGAATCATCTTCTCATCTGATAACAGATCAGTGTACATTAGTCCAGTGGAGAGATCAGACACTGGAGAATTACAGTGTACATACAGTAACCCTGTCAGCTCTGAGACAGCAAAACACACCCTGATCATCAATTGTGAGTATCTCATCATCAGAGCTGATGAAATCTAGACATTCTTCAGCTCTCAGTTTGTTTCTCTAACAGGGATTCTCTTGTCTGTGTTCTAGATGGACCAGATGGTGTTTCTATTGAGGGTCCAAATGTGGTGGATTTAGGGGTTCAAATATTTCTATCTTGCTCTGCAAATTCTGAACCTTCTGCTTCGTTCAGCTGGACGTTTAATGGGTCAGACACTGGTGTGACTACAGACAAATACACCATTGATAAGACTGACTTCAACAACAGTGGAGAATACATCTGTACAGCCTTTAATAGAGTCACAAACAGAAGAGAATTGAAAACACATGCTTTACTAGTTCAAGGTAAGCAGCTACAGCTAATTCTAAATGTATTTTCAAATGTATTTTCATAACCACTGACTGCTTTGATCATAATTTACAATTTTTTTAAAAAGAAGCATTGTTTTCATTTATTTAAAAGTGCCCTATGAAGAAAATCTGAGCATATCTAGTTTCACTTGAACAATAAGAGTTCAGAACATGAAAATGGCCATGCTATGAGTCTCAAATGCCTTTGATTTCTAGTTCTCATGTAAATTCCAAGAATGTAAAAGAAACAGGCCAATTAGAACACAGGCTATTCATTAGCATGCCCTCAAAATTTGCCTGTACTTTAGGTTGCATTCTACATCATTTGGATTTACACGAGCAGCTGTATCATCAGGGGACGAGCAGCCTAAACACAGACTGATATGTTGCACATGGGATCATTAACATTTTAGCATGCATTCCATGAAAGAAGCTTAACATACTCTGCCATTTTTGATAAGATTGATAATACAAACACATATTTGAAAACTGCTAAGGGTCTATTTTTATATATTCATAAATATAACAAAACAATATTTTATTTTAAAATTAGTAAAACAGACAGGAGTTTTCTCTTCCTGTGTCTTCTGTCAACTTGACTGGCAAACACGTAAAAAAAAAAAAAAAATGCTGAATCTCTGCGAATATTTGCTTCACGACAGAAACACCTGCATAAAGTATGAAATGTGCATCTTTAATCGAGGCAATTTTTTTTTTAAACAGATGTTGTTTGGTTAATGATTCTTATGAAAGGACACAGTGCATAATTCTGTAGTTTGAGCTTCACTGCTCAGCATATATAAGCACACCCCTCACAAATCTATCTTTAAAATTAATATTTTTATAGGAAGATATACAATATTATATTTGTGCATATACATTAGATTAGTTAGAAGCCAAATCTGGAGCTTAGCTATATAAATAACTTACAATAACGGTCCAATTTATATTTTAGAAAAATATTAAATACAAATTTTAAAAAGAGGAATATATATATATATATATATATTTTTTTTTTTTTTTTTATTATTTTTTTTTTATTTTGCAGTTTGAATTTATTTTGCAATATTTAGCTTGACTTAAATTGTATTATCTTTCAATTTCTAAATATGTTTGGTGAATAAAATATTAGTTTAATAAATATATCTGTTTAATAAATCTGTTTTGTTTAAATGCACCAAAATACATAGCCTATATTCACTGAGAAATTGATAAAATTATTAATTTTCAAAATGGAGTCTTAATTATGCTGAGCAATGTATTTATCTGCTCATTAGTTCATGCCTTCCACATTCAAACACATACATGACGACAGCCTGTTTGAATTTTGAATGCCCACAAACAAACCCAGGACCTCTGTGAAAAAAGTTCATTTCATTTTTATAATCAGGAATAAATTGACATTATGCCTTATATGATTTCATGAGACCACTGCGATCGGACACTGCTTTATTCAGAAGGTGTAATTTATTTATTTATTTATTTATTAATTTATGTTACTATAGTTGAACCAGTCAAAAGTTTGAAACAAATCTCTCTGAGTCTGCAATTATTTGAGCAAAAATAAGCTGTAAAATTAAATATTGTTAAATATTATTGAATTAATTGTTTTAAATGGTAATTATTCTCTTGATCATATCTTTCATCACCACCTCAGTGTCTAAAAATCATTCACAAAGTATTCTAATATGCTTGATTAATGCACAAGAAACACCTTTGATTGTGATTATTTATTGCAAACACGTGCAAACTTAACACAGAAATGCTTCCTGGCCCAGCGAACTTGACGGCATGCAGTCAAACCACAAAGTAAACCCCGTTGTGTTAAATTTGACAAATGAAGTATGATTACTTTGTACATGTTTATGTATACATCTATAAGTACATCTATCTGTATGTGTGCGTGTATGAATGAGAGAGCAAGTGCTGAGAACTGCTCAGTGCTGAGCTCATTAATATTCATCACCAATCCAAATATGGTCAATAAGGACCTTCTGATCCTAGAGGTATTTTATGGGGCAATAAATTAGCATATAAAATGGATTCTGGGGAATTTTTGAACTTACCCACCTACACAACAAACCAAAAAAAAAAAAAAATTGTTGAATGAACATGATTTAATTGTGGCACCCTTTATGCATCTAATCCAATCAAGTAAACCTGAACTGCTTTGAACATGTTGTATGAACTCAAAGCACATTTGTAGATAACAATTTAAACAAACAAATTAAACAAATTTCTTCTTTAATATTCTGAAACAAAATGTTATATAATATCCAAAATCGTAATATGTAATATAAAATGTATAAGAAACATTTAGCCAACAAAATAACCTTGGCTCTTAAGAAAACTGATCCACAAGCAATACCTGTAGGACGTTAACATAATTTTTTTTTACCAATTGAGTTTAAACAGCTTTCTTCACTTTGGTACTCCTATTCAAAATTTAAAAGTATAAAATGTATAGTAAACATATAGCCAACAACATAACATGCATAACATTCAAGCTCTTGGGAAAACCAATTCCCAAACTGTGCCGAAAACACGCGGTGATACTTCTTTTTGTTGTTTTCGTATGGTGACATCCAAACGCACTATCGCCACCTACTGATATGCGCGAAGTGACTCTCCAGAGTGAGAGTTGTCGATTTGAATCGTCTCAGTCTCATTGAATCAACATGTTCTGATCAAATTCATTTGATTATTTCTTGATTCAGTTTCAAATAACATGAATTAATCATTTAACATACGTAAACTTGATTTGTTCTTTTCAATCTGACAAATTTTTATTTTGTAAATCCAATACATGCCTAGTTGATTTTTTTGAGTGTATGTAGATATCAGTGAATAATTTAACTTATTGATTCAATGCACTAAATGGCACTTTTAATTCTAAGAAAAAATATACTGCTTTCTATATTACATGTAATTACTTTATGGTTTAATATCTTTTTTAAACGTTTTGATAAAAATTTAAATGCATAATGTTGTCTTTTTGTTGTGTATCTGTCTTAGCTGGAGGTGGAGGACTATCAGGAGGAGCAATAGCAGGGATTGTCATTGGGGTTTTAGTTGCAGTTTCAGGCATTTGTGGCCTGATTGTCTATTTAACAAAAACCAACAAAATGTGAGTAATCTGATGCATCATTTAGTTTGTAATCACTGCCTCCAGATTTTAAATTTACATAATGCCAATGAATGTTTTGTTTCTTTAGATCAACCACACATGACTGCATTCTGACTGAGTCTAAGCAGTGCTTCATTTGTGGATGAATAATTGACGTATTAAGATGGCAATTACAATAGAGATAGCCTTTATTTTTTGGAGCAGCAAGGGTGGTCACACTTTATTTTGATGTTCCGTTTGTTAAATTTAAGTTACATCGCATTTACATCTACATGCCAACTAATTCTTATTGGATTAAGTATTAAGTTGGGGTTAGGGTTAGGATTAGTGTAAGTAGACATGTACTTGCAAAGTTTCTTATAGTCAGTTAAATGTCTGTTGAAGGAGCAGTATCAGCAGATATTAAGGAGACAGTACTAATACACAAATGGACCATCGAAATAAAGTGTTACCGCAAGGGTCTGTGGCTTAAAAAAGTATAATGGATATAACATGAGATGTTTCAGAATGTCATATAATTGTCATGACTTTCAGATATTTAGGAAAGTCAAAGTTTACATTGCACTGATAGTCAATGTTAGTCTTATTTGTTGTTGAAGTCAAGGTTTTGACTGCAGTTAAAAGTACAACAGTATAGGAAAAGTACAGAAAGAACAAAAAATTTACACATTTATTAGTAAAGTAGCATTCCTGAAAAAAAAACTACTTGATTACAGCAATTTGATTATTTGTACACCTTTACACCTTTTTTTTTTTTTAAATATTGGATATTTCAAACATTATAAAACCACATTGAAAACTACAGTATTACTGTAATAAACTTTGTTTTTGCTTTTTTGGGGAATGAAAAATGTACAAAGTTAAACACCATGTTTTAACAAAATGTCATTGTCTTTACACTGCAGCCCAAAGCTAAAGAGTGAAGCACAAAGAAGTGAAGGTACAGTATGTTTGCTATTATATAATGTCTACATTTGATTAAAAATAGACCTTTAGCCACTACTGAAACTATTGATTGAGCTAAATTTCTCTCAGTCTCTAACTCAATTAATGTTTCTTTCTTTAAGCACCAGCAAAAAGCAAAGAGAAAACCGTGAGTGACTTTGTATTTTTATTTCAACCACATTTTCTCCAGAGGCCAAATTGAATGCTGTTGTTTGACTGACATAATAAACACTATGGAATTCAGTCATTCATTCTGTTATCTTAGAGGAAATTAAAGTTGATTTTACAAAGTTGAGATGGGTGTATTTTACAGTCTGCTCATATGGACTTTAAACTTACAAACTACTTTACAAAGACGTGTCATGAAGACAGAAACTGACCTATAGATACTGATAAAAACAAAACTATGATTGCCACAGCACACAGCATGCCTCCTGTTTCTGGTTTTACATATCAACAACATGAACACTGTATTCATCATTATTGTGCCTGACATTGTGATAATAATTAAACAAAAATCTGTTTGTAGGACTTAACCTATGTAAACATCCCTGGTCACCAGATGACTAGAGGAGGTGAAACGGCTCAGGGGAAGGGCGGTGATTCTGCAATATATATGAATATGAAAACAGATCCAAATAGTAAAGAAGATGAGTATGTAAATGTAAAACATGGAGTTCCAAGCAGTCAAAGGTGAGCAGGTAGATTCAATTTCATGACGTTAAACTTCAGTCCTGCCTATTGTAGAACATCATGCTCAGTGGTGGAAAGAGTACTGAAAAGCATACTTAAGTAAAAGTACCATTACTTACCTAAAAATGTAGAGTGAGTAGAGTAAAAGTACCTGTTGTAAATATTACTCAAAGTAGGAGTAAAAAGTAGCCCTTTTAAAAGTACTCATGAGTAGTGAGTATATGCTGTTAAAAGTTGATGCATCTACATGTATTTTGTGGATGTGTGTAAACGTAACATTCTGTAGTGCATTTAGTTATTGCCCAGCAGGCACACAATGCAATAAAACGTTAATATATAGGTTAGATTTAGTTTGTGATGTCAGGTGACCAAAATTCAATGTCCAGCCAGCGTCTAAGGACAACATTATTTTGATATCCAATAATGACATCAAATGACGTTGATATTTGGTTGATTTTAGGTTGTTAGAAAGTGACCAAAATCCAATGTTGAGCCAACATCTTATACCAACATCCTATTGACGCCAAATACTGGCATTTATTCATCAGTTATGGCAACCAAAACTCAACATCTGATAGACGTCATAGTGCTAATGTCGACACAACGTCAAGCTGTAACATCTTTAAAAGTTGATATTTGGTTGTTTCTACGTTGGACATTGACATCGGGCAGACGTTGAGTTCTGATGTAAACCTTATTTTCATTTCCTAACAAAATGCAGCGTCTCTATGGCGTTAGGGTACAATTTCAATCTGACATCATGTGGACGTCTTGTGTCTACTGGTTGTTTAAGACCATTTTGGTCATCATACAGTAAATATCCATCATCTTCTCATCAGAGACATGCATCTAAACCAGGGGTGCCATACTCGGTCTTGGAGGGGCGGTGTACTGCAAAGTTTAGTTCCAAACCCAATTATACACACCTGGGCTAGCAAATCAATCTCATACTAGGCTTTCTAGAAACATCCGTGCAGGTGTGTAAAAATCTGCAGGATATTGGCCCTCCAAGACTGTGTTTGGGCATCCCTGATCTAAACAGTCTCTGTGTCAATGCGTGTAAAGATTTTGAACATCTTCTTGGACACTTTTAAGGCTTCCAAACAGTTTGTTGCAATGTAAAGTGCACATTTCTTGAAGTAGTTCATTAAGATGCAATTTACCTTCTATGTGTGATTTGATTGGACGGGAATTACAGGACTGATTTTTCTAATTCCCATAGACAAGAAAAAATAAAGTAGTGACTGGAGGTTGAAGGAAAGTAGTGGAGTAAAAGTAAAGATACTGCACTAAAAATGTACTCAAGTGAGAGTAAAAGTACACATTTTTAAAACTACTCAGTAAATTACAATTCCTAAGAAAAAGTAATTAAATACAGTAATTTGAGTATTTGTAATAAGTTACTTCACACCACTGATCATGCTACATGAATGTTTCGAATGCAACACAAAATGTTAACAAAATACTGTAGTCTTGCAGTAAAAATAGTGTAGTTGGATGGTACTGTACGTATAATGTCCGCATTTAGTTACCAAACACTCTTTCTGTGTGCAGGTGAAAAAATGAAGATACTCTACCGAAATACTACATCTGCTACAAGATGGACAGAGTGTGTACTGTATGTGTTCAAGGTGGCAACCTGTATATATGTCATGTTACCAAAATACCTTTTGATTTTAACTTGTGTTTCACACTGGAAAATGAGATCAAGGCCACAAATATTTCTCATAAAAAAAAAAAGAATTCTAAGCCATCAGCCATATGCAGCCATGCTAAGATTCAAAACCTCTCGTTGACTTGAAAAACATTACAAACTAAATAAGAGCAAGTCCTAATACAATAGAAGGTTGTACTTGCAGGTGATATACAATAAAATAGAAAGGACATGACATACTTTTTACATACTCCTACAGTAAATGCTTCTTATTTAATGTTTATTTACAGTTTTTGAATTACTTGGTGTAATTTCCTATAATACACTGTTAGCTACTACTGCTTCAATCAAACAGTTTCTCTGAAATGATCAGCCATATCTTCACCGTGCTTGCACTGGCCAATACATACATAACGCAATGAGCTTATACTTAAATCACTTTTAGACCTGACTACAATGTCACCTAGAGATAATAAAGAAGGAAGTAGTTATGCTTTATCATAAACAGCGTGTTGTGATAATAATATTTATATACTTATATAAAAGTTGTATTATCTGAACATCAAAGTAGATTGTTTATCATCTTTCCAGTTAATATGATATAACTACTGTCATGTTGTTTAAAAAAAAAAAAATGTTAATAAGAAAATAAAGCGTAAAATATCTTTGTTGTCATTTCTACTCTGTGTTTTGATTATTTAGGGTCAAACTATTTCTTTTTTTCCATAATGGTGTGTTAAATAATATGGATTTATCAGAACATGTGTAGTGTATTGAGGAAGTGGTGATCATGACCCTGAGTTTCACTTTTACCATTTACCCTGTGTTCTGTTGAACACAAAAGAAGATATTAATATTTAAGTGAACTGTCACTTAAAATTATGTAAGATTTTGAAGCATTTTGAGTGTTTAATTTAATAAAAAGGTCAATATAAATAATGCATCATTATTCTGGCTTCATTTAAAAATATTGGGAATTAACTTTGATATGGTTCATTTATTCATTTGTTGCCCCATCAGTGATCATTAATGCAGTGAAAATATGATAGGCTACATAACATTTTACATACACGGTGTTACATCTGTCCTCTGATGAAATACATGGTTAAAGGTTTTACATTATGATTAAGGTTATATCAAAGCCATCTCATGGAAATTCTTGATTTAGTAGCTAACTCATATGAGTAGCTAATTTGTATGATCTCATACATTTTAGTATGATTTGCTCATCCACTATGACAGTTGGGTTTAGAAGTGTGGTTTGGTGCGCCTCCTTTTAAAATCATGAATTTTTGTATGACTGAAACTGAACCATTAGCCAATAAACTAACAAAACGTAAAATAGTTACATTTCCTTGTGCTCAAATTAGGTTCACAGGAGCACTTACAGTAGATGGCACAGTGAGATTTCAACTCTCATGTTTTATATTGGACTTTGCTTTTGTGGAGATATTTTAGCAATTAAATTTTATGTTGGCCTACTATTAATTTTAGCAGCATGAAATAAATGTTCCAATGTCCAATTTTAGGGCAATATTTGGGCAAGTGTCTGATAATCCACCATTAAAAGAGTTTTGTGCAATTACTTGGCAATTCGGAACAAATTTTTTATTATTAGGATGACCTCATTTACGCTTAGTAGTTTTACCGCATAGAGTAAATAATACTAGTGTGAACTCATTTTATTTGCTGAAATTAACTGCCTTAAACTGAGCATAAAAGTTGTAGCTGAAGGTGCTGGACAACATAGTTGAGAATAGACGTGCAGCTTTATTAAGAATTAGTCAGGCAGGCAATGGTCAACAGGAAAAAAACAGAAGCATGAGGACAATCAAGAAGAGTAGTCAGGTGACAAGAAAATGGTTGATACAGGCAGCAGACAATGTAAACAAGAGAACATAGCAAGGGTTAAACATGGAGAGGCTAAACAAGGAAAATGTTTAATGTTACAGGGTAGAAACTAACAAGACTCAGCAATGCGAGTGAGCAAATGAGCAGTCTATATAGTCTGAGGCCCCGCTTACACTAATAAAACGCATAAGTTTTGCTACGGTTACGCTATCTGTCCACACTACAGCGGAGCATTTACTATGCCTATATACCCAGATTTTCTTTGTAGTGCATCTTTAAATTTACTTCTGGTCAGGCAGCACATGGATACCTGACACAGATTCTCCTTCCCCGCCCTGACTGAAATCTGTCTCTGTTTGGATAGAGGTCACACACAGTTAGTAGCACAGCGGAAACGCTCTCGTTTGGACATCTATAGATCAGAGTTCGAAAGCCACAGAATGAGAGCACACAACCTTTGTGGAGGAAAATGATGCAAAAAGAAAACAGATATTCTTACTTTTCTGTACTATACTTATTTTTAAACGTCTGTGCAATTTATTTCTGGGGTTGTGTTTTCTGAATTGTAAATTAAAAATAGAGATACTTTATAACAGAGGAGATCAACTCTAAATGAATATGTATGATTTTTTGGGGGGGAAGGGTCTGCTAGAACTATATGTAAATAGTTTTATAAAACAAATCACATAGTTTTATAAAACAAATTAAATGAAGACATTTCCTACATTTTGTAATTATCTTTCAACACACCTTTTTGATTTTTTCATGTTTAATGAGTCCTATAGCTACAAGTAAAAGAGAAATAGATGATCAGTTCATGTGCACTTGGATTGATGCAACTACAGTGATCTGTTACAAGAAAAAAAAACAATGTACTGTACAGTAAGCAGAAAAAAAGCACATGGAAGTAAATGTGACTTAATTGTAAAATAATACATAATTTAGAATTGATAACATCCCTCATCCCCTAAGGATATTGTCAACAGCAGTTTGTCTCACCTGTTGTAGATCACGCGAGCTTTGAGTATCTACAGTAAAAAGATAAAACAATGGTCAAACAGCACCAGAACAAGATTAAAAGGTAAAAGGCTTGACTTAAGAGTCCTGCAGAGCTGCAGTCCTGCGGCACTTGGACTGCAGCTCTGCACAAAACATTTGGCCAGTGGAGAAATGGTCGTGCCCATCTGAGCCTGGTTTCTCTTAAGGTTTTTTTCTTCACTTATGCCAATTGGTGAAGTGTTTTTCTCGCCGCTGTCACTACTAGCTTGCATGGTTCAGAATCTGTAGAGCTGTGCATTGATGGATTGTTTTTCAGTGTTTGGACTCTTAGTAGTGATTATTACTGTAAACCACACTGAACTGAGCTAAACTGGACTGAACTTAAACTCTGAAAACTGAACTACAGTTTCAATTTACTATAATCTTTTATGTGAAGCTGCTGTGACACAATCTACATTGTAAAAGCACTATACAAAAAAGGTGAATTGATTTAAAAAAATTTGAATTAAAAAGTAAACAGTAAAAAAAATCTAAAAATAATAAACAATCTGTAGTCACCATTTTTAAAGACAGAATTTCAAAATGACAAAATTAAAATGTGCATATCAGAAACTGCACCCAAATAGATGATTGCTCAAACCAATGCGGGCCCCACATGGGCAAATGAAAATTACAAATGAAAACTATATAAATTGCTGTAGAACAATAAGATAATTATAGTATAAGCAAAATAAATATTTTGCTAAACAAAGGTTTAAAATAAGAATTTTCTCTAGACAGTTTGAGAAAAAAATGTCAAACGTGGGTCTTCAAAAACGTTTCGATGGAGATGGGCCACGAAGTGAAAAAAAGTTGAGAGTCCCTGGTCTACACTAAAAGGAAAATGTACTTCTTATGACTGATCTATGATGTTATGATGATTTTTTTATGAGAATAGAGCAAAATTTCTTTGTCTCATATATTTGTATTTGTGTTTAATGTGAAATTTTTTATGCTTTTATTTTTCCAAGTATTCTTGTATCTCAAAGGGATGATCCTGATTAAAATAAAATAAAATAAAAGAAAAGAAAAGAAAAGAAAAGAAAAGAAAAGAAAAGAAAAGAAAAGAAAAGAAAAGAAAAGAAAAGAAAATAAAACATGGGACGACATGGTGGCTCAGTGCAGTCCCGGCTGGGTCAGTTTGGCATTTCTGTGTGATTTTAATTGAATAAACTAAATTTGCTGTAGTGTATGTGAGTAAATGAGAGTGTACGAATGTTTCTCAGTACTGAGTTGCAGCTGGAAGGGCAACCAGCTGTGTAAATCATATGCTGGATAAGAGTTGGCGGTTCATTCTGCTCTGGGGGCCGCTGATGAAAAAAGGGACTAAGCGAAAGGAAAATAAATGAATGAGTGAATGAATAATTGTGCAGCACTAGGTGGCGCAGTGAGCTCTCCGTCTTCATTCTCAGCAGTCTCTGTATCAGCAGTTTATCATTGACTGAAATCTGAAGTTAACGATTTGAGCTAGCATTCCTGACAGATCGCTTGATCATGATGGTTTCACATGGATTATTCTGGACTCTGTGGATGGTGACATGTTTTGGTGAGACCATTTAGAAATTACAAATGTTGTGTGTTGAATTTATTTTTAATGTAATTAGGCCTGTTTGGTCTTATAGTGTTTATTATACTAAAATGTTTAAACTAGATACTAAAACAAGTTATTTCATTTTATTTTTATATTTTTGATACATTTAACAGGAGAATGTTTAGGTCAAGATCTTCAGTTTCCTGAGCTGCATGGAGCAATAGGAGGAAGTGTGAGATTCACCCCTAATAATCCACCATCTTCAATTGATGTATAGTTACCTGGCAATTTGGAACAACTCTTATTTTATCTGGACATCCTGATTTACCTACTGTAGCCTCAGCATACAGAGACAGAGTCAGTTTTGACAACAACACTCTCTCCCTGGAGCTCTTGAACCTGAAAATGGAGGATTCTGGGTCATACAGTTTGACTGTGATTACTAGTAGTGCAAATCAACTTAGAGGAGAAACTTCATTACAGGTGTTCGGTGAGTGTGCTGCTTGTGTGATGTGTCATGTATGTGATGTGTAAAAATGCCTTATTAACAGATAAAGTTAGCAGCAGAAGACGAATGCAAATAGACAATGAGCTCTGTGGTTGTTTTCAGTGTTGAGTACATTTAACATTAATTACTAATTAAATTAAAAAAAAAAAATCGAATTACTTGATTCACTACTTAGAACCCATACTAATCTCAACACATACACGCTAAAATTTAATCTTGAATTTGAGTCAAGGCCTATTAGCTTTATTAAAAAACTAAAAACATAACCATGATACCATATTGTACATGCCTATTGTCTTTAATTTCTTGCTCAATCCATTGCTTCTTAAGTATGTGCAACTGCCTTGATAAAAGTAACCTACTTTAGCTGAAAAACAGAATTGTAGTAATTTTGGAAAATATATTTGTGTAACAAAAGATACACTTACTCTGCTTCTCCGAGTGTATTGTTAATTTAGGACATAAATTTAAACTGTAAAAAATGTCTTTGATTTTAGCAGTAAAAGTCTGTAAAATCCACAGTGAACATCTGTTAAATGATTAACAGCGCATTTTTGAACAATATAAAAGAAATAACTGTAACAGAGCTATCCTTTGTTTTTTAAGTAATCAGAGTGTTTGAAATCTCACAATACACCCTCATTCACTAGTTCTTAAATCAGTTGATTAGTTTAGTTCACTAGACAGAGTGGATGACCACAAATGAC